TGAGCCAGGTGTGCTCCTGTGGCAAAGTCTTTTGGGTCATAGTTGCAGTTATCAGCCTTGGAGCATGGGTTGAGTGCTGAGGAGTATTGACTTTAAACAAACAGATGGCCAGATATATATCTAGAAAAATGGGTTTATTCAGGAACAACAAAGAATCACAATTCTGGACATGCGGTTTAATGGTAGAACTTGAGCAAGACCAGAGAAACAAAGGAGGAAAGTCCTCTTTTATGGACTCTGCAATGGCTGTTTAAAGTAAGAGTCCATTGGAAGAAATTGAAAGTTCAAAGTATAACTGAGTTATGGAAGTCTCCCATTAGCTGAGCTGTTACTGGGTAAGGAGGAATCTTCTTCCTGCTAAGGCAGTAAAGTAGTATTACTTCCTATCATAGATGCAAGGTATATATCTTCCTGTTGGAGTCAGTTCTTTTAACCTTCCTACTCCATTTTATTTATTTATTTTATTTTTACTTTGAAGAAGTGCGTATTTATTTTTTAAAATTACTTCATTGTTGTTCAATTACAGTTGTCTGCATTTTTGCCCAACCCCTCCCCGCCACCACAGTCAAACCCACCCCCTCCCTTGCTTCCACCCTCCCCCTTGGCTTTATCCATGTGTCCTTTATAGTAGTTCCATTGTAAATGACGTTCTGTTATTTAATTTTGGAGAAGATACGGGTGGGACTCTGGCCTTTGGCTACAGATGGGTTTCCTTCAGGGGTGTCCAACCTGGGGCCCGTGGGCTGCATGCAGCCCCGGATGACTATGAATGCGGCCCAACACAAAATTGTAAATTTACTTAAAACCTTTTTATTGCTCATCAGTTTTTGTCAGTGTTTGTGTATTTAATGTGTGGCCCAAGACAACTCTTCTTCAACTCAACGGCTCAGCGACACCAAAAGGTTGTGAGATACTTGTATGGTATCTCGGGGTTTCCCTACCTATTGACTCAATGGGGAGGGGAGAGTGGTCCATATTTAGGGACACATGCTGCCCCCAGCCTTGGTAGGTAACAGGGGACAGCATAAGGATTCACATGGAGGCTGGCTGACACCCAGAAACCACCTTGAGTAGAAGGGGTAGGGGTGGTACAGAAACATGAAACTTTTACTCAAAAGATGCCACAGGGATACCAGTGAGATACTGTGGCTTTGGTTCTGGACCACTTCAATAAAGTGAAGATTGCAATAAAATGAGTCACATGATTTTGTTTTGGTTTCTAGTGCATATAAAAGTTATGTTTACACTATACTGTAGTCTATCAAGTGTGTAATAGCATCATGTCTAAAAAAAAGTACATACCTTCATTTAAAAATATTCTATTGCTAAAAAAAACTCTAGACATCACCTGAGCCTTCAGCGAGTTGTAGTTTTTTCACTGGTAGAGGATCTTGCCACATTGTTGATGAAAACACAATTATCTGTGGAGTGCAATAAAGTGAAGTGCAATAAAACAAGGTATGCCTGTACTTATCTAAGTGAGACCATTTTAAACTGGAAGAGACTAAGTTACTCTTAATTAGTTATACATATTTTCTCAGTAATAGGTAGGGGAGGCACAAGAGAAAAATTGTCAATTACACAAAATAAAGAACCTATCCTTTTTTTGTGTCTATGAGTTGTGGTTAGATAGATTTCAATTCTATCACAAATAAAATCTCCGCGAAGACAGGACCGTTACCTGTTTTGATCATTGCCATATTGCAGCTCACAGCACTATGCTGGGTATAGAAAAAGATGCTGAATAAATATTTATTAGATGAATATATGCTCTGTATTTTCATATGAGTGACCCTTTCCCTTCCCAGATCCAAGCCATTTAATTTCAATTACTTTATTGCAGCTTCACCCAGAGCTGGTTGAATAACAGGAGTGCTGTTATTTTCTGTTAAACAATTAAGTGTTTTAGTAGAGTCAGGGTGTGAGAGGCTGCTCTCTGTGCCCCACACAAGCCCTGTTGGACTCCTAGAAAATGGTGAGGCTGTCAGAACACTGGCTGGTAACCGAAGGGCTACACGTGTCCCTTCAATTTAATGCCCTCTTAATTAGTATAATGGCTGGGTTTTCCCTCACTGCCACTTGACTCATTGCTTTCTCTAAGGCTCATTAAGATCAGGGATGAACAGCACTCCTCTGACCCCTTATGTCCCAATCATGGAATAGAGCTGGATCCCAGGCCCAGCAATGTCCCTTTCTAGTTGGACGACCTTGGGTGAGTTGTGTTCTCTCTGAGCCTCGGATTCTTCATCTGGTTGGCACCGTGGTCTTGACAATGGCTCTAGGCTTTACTCTCTGCATAGCCTCTCTTCACAGTACAAACTTACGTGACTCTTCAACGCTGCAGGCCACCTACCTCTTTACCCACAAGGATTCCCTTAATGATGTGGCTGTGGAGTCAGCCAAACCTACGTCCCAATCTTGGATTCAGATTCATCACCTTTTCCTGGTTGTGTGGCTTTAGACAAGCCACTTAACAACTATGAATTGCACTCTTTAAAAAAATTTAAATGTATTCACAAACACACATCCCTAGATACCAAGCATCGCTCTAAGACTGCTGAGTTTGAATCCTAGATCTGCTGCTCGCTAACTATGACCTTGGGCAAGTCATTTAAACTCTCTGATGTTCAGTTTCCTCATCTGTTAAGTGGGAATAATAATAACATTTTCTTTCAGGGTTGCTGTAAGGAGTAAGTGAATTAATAAAAATGAAACATTTTGAACTGTGTCAGGAAAATGGCAAGTGCCAGTAAATATTTGCTGTTATAGATACCGATCTTATTGAAACTTTACAACCAACTCTGGGAAGAAGTCTGGCTTTCCTCACTTCTAAACTGAAGGTAATGATACCCACAGCATAGGGTAGTTATGATTATGTCAAGTGGCATAGGTAAAATAACAATTGCCAATATTTATTGACTACTATAATGAACCAGATATTATGCTGTCAGAGTCAGAAATACGGTTGGCAGCAAGAAGCAAAAATTAAGTCACAGTGGCAAAAATATGAGGGTTTTTAAAAAGATTTATTTTATTTATTTAGAGAGAGGGGAGAGAAACATCAATGTGTGATTGCCTCTCACATGGCCCACACTGGGGACCTGGCCCACAACCCAGGCATGTACCCTGACTGGGAATCGAACCAGTGACCCTTTTGGTTCACAGCCTGACTCAGTCCAGTGAGCTACACCACCCAGGGCAATATATAAGGTTTTATCTCACATAAAAAGTCTGGAGGAATCTAGGCTCTTTCTGTGTTTCTGCTGTACCACTCTTATCAAGTCACTATTTGTTCTCAAGATTTCAAGGTGGCTGCTGTGCCTCTGTGCATCACATCTGTGTTCCAGGCAGAGCACAGGGGTAAATGCAAAGGCTGACGAATTCCAGTTGAGCCTGTCTCTTTAAAAAACTTTTTTGGTTAAGTAACTAAGCAACTTCCACTTGCATATCATTGGCCAGAACTGTCACCTGCTAGGGAGCTAGGAAATCAAGCCAGCCTTCATGGCAAGGGAGACTAAACAATTTAGTGGTAACCAAAACGCACAGACAAATAAGTGACCAGACTAACACCACGAAGGAAGTGAACAAGAGGCCAAACTAGAGAACATTTTTAGGTGGGGTGTTCAGTGAAAGCCTCATCCAGGAGGATAGTTAGCCAGAGAGACCTGAGGCATAAGAAGGAAAGAGATGGGGAAAAACGTTCCTGGTTTTGGTGTCACCGTTTTTTTCTTCCCTTTTTTCCCCCTTTTGAAAAAGACACGAAGTCATCAAACAACACAAGTGGAGCTATAACTGCTGTTCTGGCAGAGCCAAGGTTCAATTCAAGCTCTGCCTGGCTCTTGGGAATCCGGGCTGTTAGGCTGCAGGTTCTGGGGAAAGCGATGTAAAAAATACAATAACCATATCACATGTAGGACAACGCATGGAGAATTTGGACAATTCCCAACCTTCAGGGAAGTCTACAGCTGAGAACTGAAATTCAACAGTTTTCAAGTGATCTTGGAAGACCTCGCTGTGCCGTGGAGACTTCAACACTGATTTAAGTGACGGCTTCTGACTGGAGCAATATTCAAGAGGAGGGCACCACCCAGATCAAATTATAAAACATTTTCTGCACCCCAGAAAGGTAAATGTACTTGATTTAACCCTTTTTTATTTTTGTGGGGATGGCACTTACCCCCAAACCCACCCTCAGGGCGGCCTGTCCGCCGAGTGCCCAGGCTAGGGAGCAAGGAGCGATCCTCCCCCACACTGTGCACCTGGTTCCTTGAAAGTGAGAAAACTTGGTGCTTTTACCTACTGGGTCTCTTCCGCATCCCTCGGGCACCGCCCCCCACAAATTTGTTTAGGCCCCACCCACCCCGGCACCTTCCTCGCAGTTCCCCTTTGGGTTACACCTCCTTCCGACTCCTCCCCAGATGGCCACCTTTGGAGACCCTACTCCCTTCCGGGCTTCCCCTCCATCCCAAACTCGCCCGAGCTTCCCTCCACCTTTGACTCCTCCTTTGGGCTCGGCCTCTCTTTAGCCCCACCCACAACCCCTCTTTTCAAACATCGACCTGGCCCCTCCGCTGTCTTCCATACTTGCCTCGTGGTCCTCTCTTCTTCGGTACCGTCAACCTCTCAGTCCCCGCCCACCTTCGGCTCCATACTGGTGAAAGCGAGTCTCTCTTCCCGCCCTGAGCTCCGCCTCCGCAGACTCCCACCTCATCCCTCTCCGGTTGGGCCCCGCCCCGCCCCTCCTCCCACCTCTCCCTGCCGAAGCTCTGGACCTTTCTGAAACCAAACTGAGGGGTTGGCGAGAAACCATGCGCCCGGGAAGCCGGCTGTGTCAAGGCGGAGCTCTGCACTCCTTGCGTTTGTGTCACCTTGTCCTTCCTTAGAGAAAGGGTGGGGAAGAGGGAGAGTCCGGGGCCAGGTACAGAGCGGCAGGCGGGGTGGCGTTGAGGGCAGCGGCTCCCGGCTCCCCCACCCCCGCGCGCCTCAGTGGTACCGGCCAAGGGAAGGACTCGCAGCTGCCGGGCTCGCGCCGCTGTCAGTGCGGCTGGGCGCGCGAACGGCGCGGGCGCTGAGCGGGCAGACTCAAGAGAAACCGAAGGGGCGGTAGCGAAGGTGGGGGCGACCCCCCCTCCCGCGTGTGCCCAGCTCCTTTCGCCGCTGCCGGGTCCGCCCTCTTCCTCCCTTCCGCCCCCGAGTGCGGCGGCACCGCCTTCTTCTGCGCCGCGCGGCTTCTTCTAGACCTCTTGGCGCGGGTGAGTGGGAGCCGTGGGTGTCTCCTTAGGGGTGTGTGTGTGGGTGTTCCTTGCTCCTTTTCGGTCACCCACTTCTTCGCGCGGGCTGCTGCCTATTTTTAGAAACTCTTTTTTCGGCCATTCTTGGAGTCCCGCGAGCCAGAGTAACTCCCGGCGCCTACCCCCCCCCCCCCCCCCAACCTACCCCCACTCGGGCTCGCCGCCCTGGGTCGCCCGCCCGGCCCATGCCTATCCAAGCTCGCTCCTTGCCGCCCTAGCGTCTCGTGTCTGCTTCCTCCCTGCGGGCCCGGCCTCAGTCCGGAGTTGGTGGGGTGGGCCCGCGCCCGCTCGGAAGTTGGAGTCTTTTGTGCTCGCGCCCCGCCCCGCGAGGGGAGGAGTGGGGATGGGAGGCCGCGCGGGGGAGGCCTCGGGCGGGCCCGGCCCTGGCTCCGGGCTTCTTTCGGCTTTCCTTCCGGAGCTGGGTCTGCGAGCTCCCGGAGGCGTGTAAAACTGATTCTGCTTCGCTCCTCCCGGGCCTGAGCGCCTCCTCGGCCCCCACTTATGCGGCTCCTGGGCTTGTTGCACACTTGGGCTTGGAGAGGATCAACAACAGGCCCTCGACCTGGGGCCATGTTCCGCACCTGACTCAGCCGCCTTCGCAGCCCAGCCTCAGTTTGCCCCTTCGTGAAATGGAGGAAAAAAAGAAAGTCGCCTCGAAGGGTATTTGTAGGTACCCTTCGTATCTACAGGGAGGGAAACTAATATGTGAGAGAAGTGTTTAATACCAACAGGTAAAATTTAATGGACTTGACTCAGTAACTTCGTAAGTCATATTTCATTTGTTACCCACGGCAGCCGTCTGGGGTTATCACCATTTATATACAAGCAGAAATAAAGGCGCAGAGGGGTTAAATAATTTCCTTCAAACCAGTTAGTAGCCTCAGAAGTGTAAAGCCGTGGTGCAAGTACCTGTTGTTTATTAGTGTGAGCTTCTGTAATCTCTTTGTGCAGAAGAGATTTGATTTAATCCTTGGGTCACCCGTTAGAGACATAACTCCGTTCTTCTTGATGCCTGCGCTAGTGTCCATACTATGGATGAAATCCCAGTGGGGGCTACTGGAGGTCCAAGGGGAAAGAAGTCACTATGCATTTTTTGCTAGTATTTGCCCATTAGAAGTTGATGGGTGCAGGAGACTCCAGATCTCAAACACACTGAAGTTCCCTGGGGTTTTGGCTCAAAGAAAGCTTAAGTCATTTTATTTTTTATTATTGTTTCTTAATTTTATTTATTTTTTAGAGATCGGGGAAAAGAGGGAGAAGGAGAGGGATAGAAACATCAGTGTGTGAGAGGAACATTGATCAGCTGCCTCTCACACGCCCCCAACTGGGGAGCTGGCCCATCAATCCAGGCTTGTACCCTGACCAGGAATCCGACCGGGTCTGGGACCCCTCGGTTCACAGGCGGGTGCTTAATTCTCTCGGCTACACTAGCCAGGACAGAAAGGTTACATCATTTTAAACAGTGAAGTCCATCCTTTATTTCGTTTATGGCACGTTCCTCCCTCGAAACCTTGCATGGTCTCTACAATGTTTAGATGTAAAGCTCCTAGTTGGGGGAGGGGGAGAAGGAAGTGGCTTTAAGTCAACTGCTTCAGCTCTCCCTTCAAATAGGGTTTTATTTCTATTTTCAGATGAGGCCCAGAGGGGTAAGAGTGAACTAAAATTAACTTTGGCAGGTGTTCTAATTTTTCAATGTGTTTGATCCCCCATGTGGGGAGTATCTAAATTTTAGGCAGGGGAGTTTCTAGGCCAGGTCTTGAGGAGTCTCCTTATTTGCATTAGTTCTTTGAGTCGGGAGGTCTGCTGTGCTCACCATTTTACAAGATTCTGGATTTAGAAGTTGCAGTATGTAGGAGATGGAACGGGGTCTTACAGGTCTTCTGGTACCATTCTTTAATCTGCCCTCCCCCCTTTTTTAAAAAAATATTTTTTAATTGTTTTTAGAGAGAGGGGAAGGGAGGGAAAAAGAGGGAGAGAAACATTAATGTACTTGAGAGACATTGATCAGTTGCCTTTTGCACTCCTGAAATCTGGACCTGGACCTGGCTGGAAACCCAGGAATGTGCCTTGACTGGGAATTGAACTGGTGACCTTTTGGTTTGCAGGCTGGCACTCAAGTCCACTGAGCCACATCAGCCAGGGCTCCCTTACCTTTTAACTGAACTTGGAAAGGGGAAGTAAGTCAAGATCCACAGATTGCCTTATTGACAGAATCAGAAGTAGAATTTGTAGTCTCTTGCTTCTCAGTAGTAGTGTTTTTATTTCTATCATACCTTGCCACCTTTTGAAAGGGCATTAAATTACTTATGCAAGCCTGAAGACAGGAATCCTGAGTAAATTGAAATTACAAGGATGTTGCGTAGTCCCAGCCATATTCCATGTCTCGTGCTCAGCATTAGGAGGAGGCCAGGTTTTTGTGCACAGATAGGCTAGTTCTCATAAATAACCAGTTTAACTGAACAGTACTTCATATACTCTTCTGCGACCATTATCTGATTTCCTTTCTAATTCAGTCCCGTGAGGGAGTTAGTCTTTACAAGTATCGTTGAGAATTGAGAACACAGCAGGGTAAGGGCACTTGCCTTACTTAGATCACCAAGTTAATAAGTGGCAAGGACAGAGCACCTCTTCTGGGCAGAGAATTTGTTGTAAAATCATGAACTACTGTATTTTTTGAAATATAAGATGCATTTTTATAGCCATGTTTTTTGCTTTAAAAATCCCCCCTGCCTTTATCCGCACCATCAAGATGCACCTAGGTTTTAGAGGAGAAAAAAAATGTGGTGAAAAGGTGGGCCTTATAGTCCAAAAAATATGGTAAGCCTCTCATCGTGGCTGTCTGAGCCTCAATTTCCTTATCTGTGAACTCTCACAGGGTTTTAGGGACCATGAAGAATGGCTATGAAAGTGTATTGTAGTAGTTGTGAGTAGCAGGAATAGTAGATAGTATTTACTAAGTACTTATCATGTGCCAGTCGCTGGACTAAGGACTTTCTGTGGAGCATCTCATTTAGTCCTTAGAGGAACTGTGTGAATTAGGTATTATTATTATCCCTGCTTTTCAGAAGAAGAACCAGGCTTAGGTCACACGACTTTCTTTCTCAGGGTCATGTAGTTGAGAAGTGCAGGCAGTAGAACTGTAAAGCTGGTGTGCTGTATTTTGTGAAAATATACATATGACAAAATTTACCATTTTAAAATGTGCAGTTCTGTGGCATTAAGTACACTCGCATTGTAATGCAACCATCACCACCATCCATGTAGTATTTTTTTTTGTCTTCCCCAATTGAAATGGTATCCATTAAACACTAACTCCCTGTTCTCCTCTCCCCCCACCCCCTGGCAATCACTATTCTATTTTCTGTGTTTATGAATTTGACTGCTTGAGGTACCTCATATAGGTACAGTCATACAATATTTGTCCTTTTGTGATTGGCAAAGCTGGTGCTCCTAGTGCTTCCCTTAACCTCAGGGTGTAATGTAAATGCAGAATGATTATTAGTCCGAATCTGCATTAGGGTGTGGCTTGCAGCTCCAGAGCAGGAACCCAGGCCTGGTGGTGCTTTTGGTTAAGCTTCCTCCTCCCTTTCTGGATTGAAGTTCCTTATTACTGAAGCCTTTTTTTGAGATCTTTATTCACCCCTTCTGTGTCTTCCAAAGACACCTTCCACCCTTCAAATAGGACCAGGAAGACTTTCTACCCTTGCCATGTTCGCACCTGCCTTTCTGACTATCAAAGTTTTGGGCATATGGGGCTGCAGTGATAATGAATAGCAGTGCTCGGTTCAGAACTACTCGGAGGACGATTAAATGGTCCTTTATGAAATGTTCCCTCTTTGTGCTCTCCTCTCTTTCCATAAAGGCTCATAGGAAGGATTAGCTTGCTGGTTTCTAGAGGGTGTTTATGGATCCTAGTTGCTTGCAGCTGGTTAAGATGGAGTAATGGTATATTTAGCCTCTCAAAATTCCATGTTTCCCTGTCTGTGTAGTTGGGTGGGGTGCAGTGTTTATGTTTGTGAAGGGTAGTTGGAATTTTGTCCTGATACCTACAGGGCTGGATGGGGGAGGTATTCTAGAGATGGGTTAATAGGGCAACAAACAGATCTGAGCTTGTTATGCTTTCCTTAAAAAAATCTGATGGCTCGACATTTCCTACATATTAAAGTCCAAACCACTGAGTATGGTACTGAGGTCAGAGTGTGCTGAATTGTTTATTGGATAGAATCTTGTAGTTTGGGAGCTTTAAAGTCAGGTAGACCAGCTAGCCAACTGGCCACCATTTGAATTGGCTGCCTGTTGAGATTCTCTTTCATTGGGCATCTCATTTTTGGAAAGTTTTCCACTTACTGAACAATTATCAAGCACACCACACATGGTACTAAGCTTGAGTATTTGGGTAAACAGCCTGGTGGGGAAGACAGGCAAGGAAACAGGTGGTGTGAGAAGCATTGTGACAAGCAGCGTGGAGGCGTGGACGAATGGTACCTGACTCAGTGTTGGAGGGTGGGAAGCCTTTCCCAGAGAAGTTGGCTGACCCTAGACTTCAGGAAAAGAAGAAATGTGGAGTCATTGAGGGCATGAGACTGTTCTAGGCAGAAGGAATAGCAAGTCTAGAGATGGTGGTGGTAATAGGTGAGACTTTTGGCCGTTTTCCTGTATCTATCAGGTACCATTCTAAGCATTTAACTAATTTCTTCCCATGCCTTCAGAGGTATCTATTATTGTTATTTTTATTCTGTAGGTGAAGAAACAGACCATGGGGTTAAATAAGTTTCTCAAGATTCCTTGGTGGAGCATAAAGCTTGAAATGGGTGGATGTGGCAAAAGATGAGACTGCAAGATAGGCAGAGTAGGGGCCAAGTCATGAAAGGGCCTTGTTCGGGTTGAAGAGTTTAGACTTCATTTCAAGGTGAAGGGGACTATGACTTCTGCATTTTAGAAAGATGGCTACCTATTTGGGG